CAGAACATGGCCACACAGCCCGGAAGACCCACACCAGCCATCGTATTCCGGCCGTGAAAGCCTTCGACAATACATGTTGGTATTGACTTTTAACTTTGAAGGGAGCCGGGCTTGGTTGTTTAACAGAACCATTTGTCTCTTTATGAATTTGTCTACAGGAGAAGCCTTTTTTAAGTGCCCGCATCGTTGCAGGGCTTCTTCTGCATTGCCTCCAAGCTATGGAGCATGCTGCCATGCGTTTGATTCTCTCAGCATTTGGAAAATATGCAAAGACACATCTCTTACTCCAAGCTTTGAATTAGTATTTATTGTTTTACTGAATTAGTATTTATTTTTTTCTTGTTGGGGATGTGAATCCAATAGAATGACTCTTCAGCATCTTAACTGACAACAAAAGGACAATGAGATACACATAACGGCTTAAGGATTTCCTCTGCGTCTTCTGCCTATTACTCTGTCTGCTTTTCTCAGGTCATTTCTTTCTGCCTTTGGTCCCACTCTTTGGTGCACTCAGAGCAAATACTCTGAAGCTTCTTTCAGTAGAATGTAGTGAGCTAAGTACTCAGCTTTGCTTATCCATATAACGTGTTTCTTGTAATTAAATCTCTTTTCTGTTATAATTATAAAATCTATTTTCATTAATCATTGCTTAGGTTAGATTTCCATTCTCAGGAACTCTCCTGTTCACACACTTCAGTCTGGGTTTTTATCTTGTTTTTATGTTTGAATTTTCTTAGCTGTTTTGAGTGCTAGGCATAGTAGAACAGTGGCTATAAATCAGATAGATGCAAGTACTAAAGCAGTCCAGCCTTGCTAAGCATTTTTTGAACTCAGTTTCAAGTTTGGATAGATGCTGTCCCTTGCCAAGAATTCAGAAAGCCAAACTGAATCCAAATCCATTTTCCTTCTGGTTGCATGGGAGAGAGTAACCTCAAAGCCATTTAGGCTTATATGGGCATAGGCTTGTAATTCTAAAGTTAGCAATATGTGGAAACACACTGTAGTGAACTCATAAACACCCTTGCTTTCAACATGAATAGAATGGCACAGCTGTACTACTGCTGCTTTATTCAAGAACACCAATAATAGAGGGGAGACAAATAAAGTCATGCTTCATAGTAGTTTCAAGGCAATTTCTACACAAGCTGAATCTGCACTGCAACAGTTATAGTTTGCGTTTTAAAATGGTAACATAGCAGTTGACCTACCATAGAAATAGGTACATTGATGTTAATATTATGGCAAGTCAATACTATAAATTTGACTAATATTTCACCTAGCAAAAGATAAAATCAAGAAATATCAGGTAGACTTTGAATCGTTATAATACAATAAAAGGTTTTTATGTTTATTATTAGGGGGCACTCATTCTTCACCCTTTCAGGGACTAACTCCTCTGGCTAATCAAGTTCGAGATTTGGTAAGTAACTGTTGCTGACCTAGAAAGTAGTAAAAGAGTTCTGTAGCTGATATCTTGAAGGGACTACTAACCTAACTTTAGATGTGTCACTTGACACTGTGACACATTTAAAGGGAATGAGTTGGTGGCTTGCAAAATTACTTTTCTATCTAAAGGTTTAGCTTGTGTTTTTGTATGTGTGTGCTGTGCTCTTATCTGGATATTCAGTGAAAGAGAAGGCGGTGGTCTCTCTCTCTCTCTGTATAAACAAATAAATAAATACAACATCATCTTGACTTTTTGAATGCTTCCCAGAATGCTCTGATGATTCATTTTTGCTAGGGTGGCCCGAGCTTCAGACAATCAGGTTTGCTAGTAATTGAAAAACATGTGGTATATTGTTTTAAAAGGAACAGAATCTGTCTTCATTCCTGTTTGCATCCTCTCAGGTTGAAGGATGGAAACATAACATTACCTTCCTGGTTTCTATAATGGAAACTTTCAAAACCATTTTGAAAGTAATCTCTCTGGTCATCTTTTCTGCTCCAATTTATTGTTTCTGGGAGCTGCCCCACATTACTCGACAGCTCTCTCTAGGATGACAACCCATCAGGTTTGCCTCTTAACCTCCAAATCAGAATCAGAGGAATCTATTACACCTTTAAACCACCTTTAAAATTTCAATGTCTATTATGCTATTTCATGAATATTTTTTTCTAAATTGATGAACACAAACAAATGATGCTTGTGACCCACAGAATCATACGCTGTTCCAGGAATACAGATAAATTGACTTTAATAATGCCCATCACTAGTTGCAAAGAGCAATTCACTAATTAAAAGCTCAACTCCATGTTTAACCATGTTCCAACAAAGAAAATCTGTTTAAAAACAATGGACTTCAAAATGGAATTAAAGTAGTGGTGCTTATCATTAGAGCTGTGTGTAAAATGGGAAATGTTTCATTTTACCATTTAAGCAGTACAGAACTTTTCAAGTTGCTAAATTCCAAAGGAACAAAATATGAAATAACTCATGTTCCATGGCCTATTAGAACAAATTCAAAAAGTTTCAAGCACTGCAGGAAACTATGCATATTCAGAACAGAACCCTTGCTCCTTTTCTTTGTTTTCATGACTGTAGAGTACGGGAGATGTCCTTGGCAAAAATATGCAAGATCTGTTACGTAAGAAAAAGGGCTGAGCCATTCTTTAAGTTCTGGGAAGCAAGATAGTATTTGGAAGCTCCTCAAGCAGACTCCTCCCTGACTCACTGGGACATAAGAGGGAGGGGAGGTAAAGCACAATCAGGCTTGCAAGTTTCTGTTATTACAGCCTATCTCAATAAAGGCTGGTTCTAGTATCTGAAGTTTCAAATTAATTAATTAGTGGTCTGCTAATTAACCAAACTTGCAATTGCAAAAGGAAATGGACAGAATAATATTTTCATCTAATAGTCAGAAATGTGTTTTATTCAGTTGCATTATTTAAATTGTATATACAGAATACTTATGTTTGAATTTTAGGATTCAATTGCTGTTTGTGGAAAGGGATGCAGTCCTCAGAGAAAACTTGGAACCTCCGCAGCTATATGGCAAAAGCTAAGAAACAACTGATCTAATTTTAATCTTTTTTGGATTAATTCAGTATGCAGCTATCTTGTAATATTCAACTTTGCTGAATTGTGGTAAGGAAAAATTAAGACATGCTTGTATGAATCTGCTTTGAGACTTGTGAAAACTGTAATCTGCATTGGAATGACAGTTAAAATATATGAAAGCTGAATTACCAGAGCTCAAGTAAGAGTAATAACTTTTACTACATTTGATATAAGTACATTTGTGCTTCTCTGAAATTACTTTTTTTTTCTGGATGGTACTGTCTGGCATTCAGGTATTTAAAAAACAGATCTTTGGCCCTGGCCAATCAGATGTTTAAAATTCAAATGGAACCAGCTAACACAATTGAGTACATCTTCACGTTAAGCCGTAATATGATTCATTTCATTATAGAATTTCCATGCTCTCTTCATTTGCTCTGCATCATAATTAGCTAGCATAAGTAGCTAGCAAATGTCTTATAAGAAAAGTGAAGATCTTCCTTGTCTTGTTAGATACAGAGATCATAATAGCAAGTCCAGAAAAATTAGATGGACTTTTTTTTCCTATTATTTATACTAGGAAATCATGGTGATATGGATGAATATTGAGAACAACAGAAAACACACATTCATTGTAGTTCCTCTAACTACCGAATTTCGTAGTGGGAAATGGGAAATAACTGGATAAAAAATAAATACATGGACAGTTCTTTGGATCTAGGTACAGTCCTCATCCTCCCAAATACAAAATCTACTTATGATTCTAATGTAATGTAGATAGTTGAATGAAACAGAATACTAATTAGCATATTACATGCATTACGTTGGTCTATATATAAAACAAAGGAGCAGTAAAGTATGTACTTTCCTAGTTGTTCCTACAGAGAAAAACTTATTTGAATAGACTTCAGTGCTACAAGAAAAGGTGGTATTGTTGAAGGTATCTAGCAAAACCTTATTCTAAATACTAAGAGCAGACTATGTAAAACTTCTGATATTTAACCATTTAGTGCAAATGAAAACAAAGAAAATAAGATTTCCTGCTAAGCGCCAGGTAACACCAAAGTTAGAATCTATAATAGTTTCATAGGATGTATAGGGTGGAATGAAGGTAGGAAACACAAATTATAAATGCTGTGTTCCAGATATTTTTTCACAGTCCTACAAAAGCCAAAACATGTCTTACTAATCTTTAATTTCCAGATGTTCCAAATGTTCAGAAAAATTGAAATCTTTCCATGATTTGCTCTTATATCTACTTCCAGGCTGCCAACATGAGGCTTCCAAACCTTTTTTCTTCCCTGGCACTAAATAGGTATTCATAAATCTGCCTGATGGGTGGAGCCTTTTCTAGAGCTGGGATTCTGAGCTTCCTTCAGAATTATTCTTTCACCCCAAGAAAACAGAAAGGAAATAGTTAAAATGCCACACTCTGGTGCCACTGCCCATCCAACTCAGTATATCCCTTGGAGATACTCCCAGCTCTCACCTGAAAGTATTCCCACACAAGGGGGAAAAAAAGGTGTGCAGACCCTCACAAAGGAGTGACACTGTTCGTATCCATCCTCCCTTCCTTCTCCCTTCCTTCTCTCAAGCCCAGTCTGGCAGATGTCACTAGTCCTCACTCAGCCTGGTGGCCTTGACCTTTTCTGCTGGCTAGAAGGCCCACAGCAGCCTCCCCTAAATTCAGTTCTCCTGGGTAGATACCAAATTATTACCCAAGGAATAGCCTTGCTCTAATATGTTTTAAGAATGTTCAGCTTTACCAAAATGTACAACAGAGAAAGAAATACCAATATAATTTTTAAAAGATTTTTTTAATTTAATAAATAATTTCCATGGTAACATTGTAAAAAGTGAACATTTGTTAAAATAAAAGGCACTTAAAGTATGAATGTGGCTAGTACTGAACAGGTAACAAAATGGCCAGCAGCAAATATACATGCCATAGTATGTCCTGACCCAGTGTCATGCAAAGTTAGCTATAAGATAAAGATAAATTACAACCAAGATTGCAAAAATAAGCTGGTTTGACAATTATCTTACACAAAATGAAACCAAATACATTAAAGATAAAGTTGCTAAAGCACCAGGCTTTAAACCAAGCAAGACGTTTAAAAAGAAACCTAAGGAATTAAGGCGCTAAGACGAGCTTTCTCCAACTCAGTGCCCTGTAAGTGCTGGACTTTCAACTTCAAGTATGACCAATTTTTTTAAAGTCCAGCACCTCTGGCTGGCACCAGATTAGGGCAGCTGATTTAAAAGGGGGTCTTGGCAGTGTACTTGCCAGTACTAAAACCAGAACTTGAATTTACAAAAGGGAATTCTTAATATTATTATCATTTCTGTTTTAAGAATATTAAAGCTCTTATTTTGGATCTATTGTTTCTTTTTATTCGTATACAGACCTTGTGACAATTTAACATGTATATGCACATATGAAATTTGTAATTAAAATTACATCATGATTTCTACATTACTGAATACAGAAAGTTGAAAATTAAGTCTCATATTATTCACAAGCTAAAGTAAATTTTGTATAGTTTATTAGTAAGCATTTGGCTTGCACTATTTGTGCAAGACAAACCTTGATACACTTATAAAGCTAAAAACTGTTCTAATTTTAATACTTAATGTATAGGCAAATTGTTTGCTTATTAAGTGTTTCATTCCATACAAAAGACAGGGAAGATAAAAAAAAGCACCTTAACTGAGTAAGCTATGATCTTAATTGAGTAGGAAATGCAGTCTCAAGTTTTCTGTCAGTCCTCTGGCACTGTTTATTTGCAAAAACAAAGAAAAAATGTTCAAAAATAAAAATACTGTACATTTAAAAAAAATTGCATAGGAAACAACTGTGTAAGTAAGGAACTAGTAAATCCATTGCAGTATTGCCAAAAGCTAGTTTATTATGAGTACAAAACTGCTACATTACACACACTGCTGTGAAGTTGTAAAGCAGTTTTCATTTCCCCTCATACTTAGGATTCACTACAGTCGTCACTGCACTCTTGTATATAGGATTTTCACCCTAGAAGAAAGAAAAACATGATTATAGAATGAAAATTTTCACAAGTTACTGAAAAAGTATTTTCACATACTGCCAAGCCAATCTAGAGATCCATGTGCACATAGGGCCCCACATATGGCTCCTGCAAAGGACCACAGAATTGAAACAAGCAATTAGACCTTTGGGGGGGGGGAGAATACTACAGATTATCTATCTAGCATTTTTAATATTTACTAAGCATCATGCCTATCACAAATTATTCTTTAGAATATGCAAGGGGGCTAAAGGAAAGGGAGTGAAATTATTCTATTGATGGGACTTTCACTATCAATACTTTAATTCCTGATGATAAGGTGGGTGGCAATATAAATTGAAAAAAAAATTAAAACAATTTTAGGAATGAATATTTTAAGCATTTACATGCCTCTATTGATTCCATATTCCCTCCAGTGTATACATAATTAAATCAGAAACTTTAGATGCATTTTTGACAGTGCAAAACTAACACTGACATTACTGTATCAGGAAAACTCACAGACGGATTGCTCCTTATGACTCACAAGTCTTTAATGATCTAAGTAAGATCAGCCACAAAATTAGTCTCAATGTGAACACAGCAAATCCATCCTTCAATATCAAGGAAGAAAGCTCACAAACAGCAAACAGAAGAGAGGACTTGCGACTCACACACAAAACCTGTATAATCAAGTTGTTTAAGTGTGGGTGATGTGATGGAATGGAATTATGAAGGCCAGGCTCAGGGAGAAAAACATTTTCTTTCATCT